GCTATATGTCTTCTAAACGCAGTATTAGCCTCTTGTGTTGTTTCTACCATACTGATGTCTTTGTGCTGCAAATACGCTTCTGCAAACTAACAACACTGATATTTAGAATAAACATAATTACCAGAGGTGAAAGTGGGCCGGTTCAGCATCCTGGTAAGACCCAGCCACCGGTACCGGCCCTTACACGGCTGACGTTACACTTCCGCTGTGGTAGTGCTTTGTGCTTTAACGTCGCTGCCCCCTTTAGCACCCTCCCCTGCCCCCCCGCATCAGCGGCCCTGCCATAGGGTCCGGCAATGCTGTTGGATGCTCCTGGCAGGGCTGCCGACAGTGTTGGAGCAAAATGGGCGCTGGGTTCCAGTGATTTACAAGGGCCTGGTTCTCCTGGCCACTGCAGCAGCAGCAGTGAGGAAGGGCTGGCTGGTGGAATCTGGCCCCCCAGCACCGCACCTTCCAGTGGAGACCCCATCCCTTCTGGGGGCCACAAGCCCACACCACACACCTTGGCAAGGACGCTGGTGCAGTGCCCACTGGTAATCTCCGGCATTTACTTTCACCCTGGATAATTACACAAACATAACAAATATAATGGCAATTTGGTATTCAATACCTTTAAGATGAGTGGTCCGCAGTTGTGGCCATCACTTTGTCTGGGATGATGAACAATGTTACTGTTCCAATCAGATGAGGATTTTCTAGTTAATCGTTTGATGAAGTTTCTGAAATTTTTAGAGAGTACATTAGCAGACTGCATAAATGAGCTTTGCTTTCCCTTTTTTCCCCTCCAGTTTATGGACATAGATAAAAATCCATTCTCTCTCTTTTTAATTAATGATCGAAATGACTTATTGCTCACATATATACACATTGCTTTCATATTATTATCTCACTCTTACACAATGTATCACCTGATTTGCTGTGACCCATGTTGATAATAACACATTCTCAATCATGCAACATGGTACTGTTTCGTGTCCACATTCTGTTAAGTCGTTCCCCAAAGTCAAATCACACAAGTTCACTCAAAGTCCATTACTAGGCATATTCAGTATAAGTACATGCTGTTTCAATTTTTATTTGTAGCTAACAGGAAGATATTAGTCTCACAATTGTTACATTCCCTTTAAAAAAAATTTCAATGGAACAATTAATATTCACTGTAAAAGTAAGTATCTAATAAGTCACCTCCAATTCCTCAGGCATGTTCTTTCATATCTCATCTCATCACAAAAGGGGTCAATTATTAACAATTCTTTTTTTTTTTTTTCCCATCGAGGCTATCTGTGAGTTTAAATATATTCACAAATTATATTGCTAATGTGATTATTTCAAACATTTTATAATGATTTATCAAAAATCATTATGCAATTAACATATTCTCGTTTGTAATATCTCAGTAACACACAAGAGAAAAGCATATTGTGAAATCATTGATCAATTCATTACAGAATGTATTCTTCCAAATTACATTCACAACCTAACTTGACAGTAGCATTTTATTTTTAACATTCACATTCCACTTTCATTTGCATGAACTGAACTCACTGAAAACCCGCGACACGGGAAATTATATCACTGCTACCATAGTTGTGTTACAAATCTCTTATTTATTATAACATTTATTGACCATAATCCAGAACTACAATACAAAACATCTTACTGCAAGAACCCAATGACCTGGTGTGGGGTAAGGAAGCAATAATATATCATTTTGAAGTAATTCACTCTGTATTTATTTTTTAAAAAAATTAGAAATGCAATTATAGTTTCCAGTGAAGCAAACAATGAAATGTACATTATACTGTATTTCCCAGTTTCATTACATGTATTGCTATTAGACTACTCCTCCACATCAAACACACCGTTGTATTTGCTGTTTCACACTGTGTTTAACTCACTGAATGAAATTGTGCTTTGCTCATGCTATGTATGAAAGTGTGTTAGCATTTACCTTCACTTTCATTTGTGGAGCTCTGTCTGAGAGAATGAAAGTAGAAACGACTGATGAGATGGCTTGTACCTGTTGACAGTCAACAAAGTTATTAATGCATTAATAATTCTGGCACGTTAAGAACATAATGAATTTAATATAGACAGACATGCAAGGGATCCTTAGTGTTACAAATCAGATATGGATATATAAGAGAGTTCTATAAAAAAAATGATTTGTAATCAATGTGCTTTGTCTTACTTAATGTAAAAACCAACTAAGCTGTTCGCATACTTGTGTTCAATTAATGGACCCACTGAACTGTACAGCAAAACTAATGTGGCCCTCTATTGTATGTCCGATATGCACCTCCAAATACATTTCAGCAAATGTTTAGCAGCAGTAAATACACAGAAATGTTGCAATTTCAGGTTTATGTTGTTATTTCAAGGATATTTGGTCTTTTATGTTGTGCCACATATTCACATGATTGTTTACTTACTGAATTAATGCATACTTTCATGTACCGTCACAGTAAGTACCCTACCTTTCCATCTGCTTTCTCGACCACACAGCTCAAATATGCATCAATAACCTACAACACATGAAAGAAAAGGCACAATTTCAATAATTGATGAATTAATCCCAGTAACAAATACATGTTTAGTGTTACTTAAATGTACCTCATCACTTATCCAGCTTCTCAGTTTCAGGCAATGAAATGAGGAGCCATACAATTTTATGTTTCTCACTTTGGCCTGCAGTCTCTCTGTGTGTTTGTCGGTCATTACAAATTTGACTAGGAAAAACAAATTAACACATATTACATGCATGGTAAGACAGTTGGGGTCTGCTAGGGTGACCAGATGTCCCAATTTTATAGGGACAGTCCCGAGTTTTGGATCTTTTTCTTATATAGGATCCTATTACCCCCCACAAATACGTGAAACAGCGCACCTCAATCTTCCAATAGATCAATTTGTCACATTAGCCAGGAGGAAGCGGATCTATCTAAGGGGCCACTCTGGTATCACCTTGGGGTCATGGGCCCGCCCCGAAGGGGAAGAAGCATGATGGGAGCGCAGGGCCGGGCTGGCCAGTGTGCGTCTGGCAGCTCCCGGTTTGTAAACAGTGCCCTTGTACTGTGCTGGGTGGAGCGGGGTTGTCCCTGCCGTGCCATGACCCATCTCCCATTGCCCCCGGTCAGCCCGTCACTCTGAGGACTCTGCCTCCCTGCCCCATGTTCCCATTTCCCCCCTGGGGGCCCACAAATATGTTTAGCACCAGGCCTACAAAAGGTTAATCCAGCCCTTTTTGGGGTGCAGGCTCTGGGATGGAGTTGAGGTGCAGGAGGGTTGCAGGCTATGGGGAGTTTGAGTGAGGGGTGCAGGCTCTGACCTGGGGCATGGGATTGGGGTACAGGAAGGGGTGCAGACATGTGGGCTCTGGGAGGGAGTTAGCAACTCAGCATGTTATATAAGAGAAATGAGCTGCAGTGATTTCATATAGACATAGAAACTGATAGAAGACACTTTTACATATTCAAAATATGAGAGGCAGGGTTTGAGGGAGGGGGTGTCTGTACAATATTTCACTGCATTCAGTCTCCTGGCTGGAGCAGTAACGTAGCCATGTACAGGGCCACCCAGAGGATTCAGGGAGCCTGGGGCAAAGCAATTTTGGGGGCCCCTTCCATAAAAAAAGTTGCAATACTATAGTAACATGTATTTGGAAATGTAAAAAAACAAACAGTGAAATACATTCAAAAATTAATTTGTAATAATTTGAAAATACATTAAATACATTATTTAAAAACATTAAATGCTTTAATGGTATGTATACATTTGCAATTACATAATGGGCTATTGCTGGGTGATGGTTGGGATGGGGTAGGGGGGGTGCCTGGCCCCTTACCATGCCGCTTACCCCCTCTCCTGGAGCCTCAGCATGCTGCATCTGGGAGCAGCCCCGGACAGCGTTGGAGCCACGGCGCTGCAGCGTGCCAGGGCTGCTCCCGGATGCGGCACGCTGAGACCCCATGGGATGGGGGAAGACGGGGGGGGGGGGGGCAGCCTCTGACATATTCGTGGGAGCCCCTGCGGAAAATTGCCCCACTTGCCCTCCCCCCACCCCTGGGCAGCCCTGGCCCTGCAACACTTGTATACGATAGAGAGGAGATGCAGTGTCTAAGCTTTGACAGGCTAGGAATTGGAGGCCTGTGCCTCTCCGACCCGTCCCAGGAACCCGCCCCCTGCTCCGAGGCTGACATGCAGCGTCCTGTGAGCAGAACGAAAACAGCCTCTGCACACCCTACACCACTAGATTAGCGGGCACACTGGGTGGCTCATCCCACGGGGTCACTGTTCCCCCCTCTCTAAACGGGGGTTTTGTACCCGCACGGGGTCTGGCAGCGTCTCCTCCCCCCGGCTCCTATCCCCCACCCCCGATTTTTCCCCTTCAGCCCCTCTACTGCCGCTACCTAGAGTAGCTTGATCCCCCCAGGCCAGTAAATTTCTGCCCCCTGCTCAGACCCTGACAGCCCACCCGCTGCAATTTGCCCCCCTTAATCCTTTTAAACCCCTCCAAAGAGGAGGCAGCAAATCGTAAGTAGAAGTAAGGGCAGAGAGAGGGCAGTGGTTACTGCGAAGGTTACTGGGTATGCTCAGTTCGGGTGAGCATGCTCAGTACACCCAAAGTAGGGAAACGGCAGCAGGATCTGTTTCTGTCGCCTCAAACTGCCCGCTTTCCCCAAGGCTCAGGCTACCAGCTCCCTGGCTGACAGGGGAGGGCTCGGGCTGCCCACTCAAACTGCCCGGCCCCGCTCTCCCTGGGGCTCGGGCTGTCTGCCCTGCAACTGGGTCCCAGCAGAGTCTTCTGGCCGCCATTAATGAAATTTTTCTTGCAAACCCCCTGAAACATTATGCGAACCCCCAGGGGTTCGCGAACCCCATTTTGGGAACCACTGATCTACAACAAAATATACTAGTCCCCTATAGCCTTAATTGTATACTAGGGGTTTTTGTTAAAGCACATGCGGCTAAACTCAGCTCTGACAAGAAGTGGAGTTAAATGGACTTATGCAACCTATACGAGGGCTGAATCTGGCCGATGCTGTCCAAGTTTTTACAATGCTTCCAAGTCACACATATGACAACATGATTCTCTAGATAAGCGTGCGCGCATACACTCTCCAATGTGCTCTGTTCTCCTCTAAAGAAGTAACAATTACCTTTTTTCACCACCTCTGGGAATCCGTCTGTCTCATACTCCGGCTCATTCTCATGTAGGGAGTTGGCAACCTCATCAGCACCTGACCAAAGGAAAGAGTCATTACCTGTACAAATAACTTTAAGGAGACTCTGGAAAGATGAGTTTAGAATGCAATGATCTCAATCATTCATTTGTTAATTAAGTACATAAGATGTATGCTTGTCCAACCACAGTAAACTATACCAAATAAAACAAAACAGACATCATGTAAAGGTTACTTTACAGAAGAGATCTCTGTTAATACCACATTTACTGTCAGGGTGCCAGGTACCCTGATTCTTTGGAATCTGCCCCTGGACACACAATGCATGGGCAACATTAATTCTGGCATTTCCTAACTTTTAAGTGCTTAACATTACCACCTTACCATGGTTTTAACAATTTTTGTGTATATAATTGAATTATAGCTCGTCTCAGAAATATGGATCCCTTTTTATATTGCTAGTGATTCTGCTAATTGGACACTCATGAATATTTGCTAGCCTAACTTACCCTAGCTAATGACAGACAAGTTGTAGTATATTTTACACACTGTGGTGACCACTTTAAACTGTTGTCCTATTAGCTCTATATTTAGCACCTGACAACTCTTGAAATGACTGAAGCTTGTGATCAATAAAACCCCAATGTAAGTGTCTTAAAAAACATTTGTTAAAGTTAATAAACTCCAGCACTTCCTGGTCCCAGAAAGCTGCAACTAGTACCAGGCTGATGATATTAAAAAATGGAGGTACTGTCTGAAGCATAACACTTTAAGAGTTGCTCCTCTCTCCCTGTCTACAATCCTAAAAGCTGTTTGGAAGGACATATGTATAAACTCTAAAAGATGTCAATTTCTCCATGGTGGATGCTGAACTATCAGCCATCTACACCCAGAATGTGAATTTTCTTTGTTGTGATGGCCAGCAACGGAAAGAACAGACACACTCCAACATTTTACACTCTCATGTCTCAAACAAAGCATTGTAAGAAGTTATACACAGCACTCTAATGTTCTTTAAAAATAGCCTCCCCTTCATCCTATGGTCGTTTTTGATTTCAAAACATAGGCATTGGAAATCTATATTCATAACATATAAGGAGACTCTGAAATTTGAGGAGACAGATCTTGGGCCAAATTCTCAGCTGGTGTGAATGGCAGAGCTTCAGAAACTATACTGATTTACACCAGCTGAGGATCTGGCGCCTCATCTGAATCAAACGTAATAATGCATCTTTTGAAAACATATTATATAAATAAATGCATTAAGGTTAGAAACAGGATCATGATTAAGGCTATGTTTTAGTCTTGGGTATTTTTAGTAAGTCATGGACAGGTCACGGGCAATAAACAAAAAGTCACGGCCCCATGACCTGTCTATGACTTTTACTAAAAATACTCATGACTAAATCTTACCTACTGGGAGGGGGGACGCTCCTGAAGACTGCTGGGGAGTGGGGGAGAGAGAACAGGGCGACGCTGTTGTTGGGGGTGATGCCCAGGACCCCGCTGCCACTAGTCCCAGACTGCTGCTCCAGGGCAGCACCAGGGACCATGCCTGGTGCTGCCGGAGCAACGGCCAGGGCGGCTGGCTCCTGGGCTTCCCCAGCTGATGGGGTGGTCCTGGGATCAGCTGCACCAGCACTGCAAAATTCACAGACGTCACGGAAACCGTGACTTCCATGAATGATTTGCAGCCTCATAATAACATTTTAGTATAGCATTTCCTTCTTAAACTACGCCATACTTGGCTTTTGCTCCTTTAATGGAGCACCATGTTCAGCAAATTTGTTTCTGCAACATTTCTTTTTCCTTCTCTAGCTGCTTACAGGATTTCATCCATGTCTTCGTTTCACTGCGAGCAAATCTATTTTGCTTCTTCAGTCGATCTATATACTTCAGCTTGTCCACCTATAAAATAAGAAAAAAAATTAGTTGCTAATACGAAACTTCATTGTTCTGTATAAGCATTATACTCTCACTAATGGCATCTCACCAGTCATTAAAAGTTCAGTGCAACTAAAAAAACCAGACAAATGTTATAATATGCATGTAGAGTTCACTTAGTAATATACAATTGAATTATAACAGCTTCTAATTCCAACAGAGAAACATTACAATCATGTTTATTGGAAAGCTACATGTGTGTAGATTTCCTTGATAGAGAAATAATAATCTAAATAGAATATTCAAAATAACCAAATGACAAAACCCAGCTGAAACGCATGTGGTCCAGGCAGGTTTGGCCACCCTATGTGCATTGGAATAATGCCCAAATAAATGGATGGTGGATATCTGGCAGCCTTATAAAACACACTTCAGGATAACGTAAATATCAAGCACAGTGCTCCATTAGCTGGGCATGGAGTGAGCACTGTAGCTCAGTGCCTGCTTGCCACAATACGGGCTCCACACTGTGCTGCATGAGTGCTTTCTGATGCGTTTATTTCTGAAGCGAGAGCACAGAACTACAGTCCGTCATTCACCACAAATGGAAGTAGAAAAAGACTGCAGGCTAGAAAATGCAGAGGGAATTGATAAGAAAAAATTCACCTAGATGGACAGGTTTAAAAACTATAAACGACTATCTAAATTATTAGTGAAAATAGTGCTGTCATAAGAAGAATCACTTAATTAATAATTTAGATGGAAATTCTGCATACATCAGAACTGATATGCTCTCACAAGTTGAGTGTGACATAATGAGGTAGTAGAAGCAGTTTAAAGACAATAGGGGCATGTCTAAAGTGGGAAGTTTCACAAGGTATTAAGTAATGTGTTCATTAACATGATGTTACAACATGCAGTGTAGACACTGCACTGTTATGTTTAATATCACATCAGTCAGTTACGGTTAACCTTAGGGGCAGAGTGAAAAGACATGTTTAAACACGGTCTAATTTTGAAGTACAGACCCTGGCAAGTAAGGTATTGTTTCCTTTGCACCATAGGTGCAGGCATGGCGATATCTCTCTCTGGTAGGACGACTGCTGCACCTAGGTTCCCCAAACTTTCAAATTTTCCTTACATTTTAGTTTAACATCTAGTTTTAACCGGAAATGATGATCTCCAAGGAGGAAAGCATGAGAAACTAGATAGTTTATTAATTATTATTATTATCTCTCACTGCTGAGAGAGTCATGCGGGTTTGGAATTTCTTTTTTGTATGGTTGTGTACATGGGGTCCTTCCCCCGATTGTTTACAGAAGTGAGGTAGCACGCTAATCACCCTGCTCTGGGCATCTCTCAACTAAGTAGGGGTACTGAGACAAATGCTGATTGTTGGAATAGCTTGCTAGATGGCCCCAGGTGCCTGAAAGGGTGTCTGTCTACACCCTTCCGAAGAGAATTAGTACCACTTGGGGCTTTTTACTCAGTAAAGCAGGAGCCATTTTGAACATGGGAAGGGATTTCTCCTTGACGCCTCTGTAATCCCCTGATGGTGCAGCTACATAAGGAATGGAATTCTTATGTGCCTCTGTTCTGGGCACACACTGCCTAAAGTGCTCTTTAATCCTTCAACGCTGAGCAAGCCTATGGAGAGGGGGAGGAGACTCCAAACTCCTTTCCCTGGTAAAGCCTGGGTCCTTGACCTGATAGACAGGGACAATTCCCACTCCATTGTGGCCTCAAATTTGGGCCCGCTTCCCTCGTTGAAAGAGGGTCCCAGGCTGAAAAGCAGAGATGAACAATTCACATTACCCTGCCACCTGAGACAGGGCTTCACAGAAGTAACATGTGTCTCTGCACACCCAGATATACTCCAGGGTGGGAGGGGGCAGTGAGTCTGATACAGATCACTCCAGGAGACCCGTATATAGAAAACCCCAGCAAACACATCCTAAGAGTGGGGAGGCAAGAGAAAAGATTTAAAGCCTGATGTTTATACAACCTGCTCATTAATTGTACATATTACTTCCTTACAAAGGGGACAATTCCGTTTGTCTTTTTGGGGCCCAGAGCATATGGAGTTTCCAAGTGTTATTCCTGAGCAGACTATGTGGGGTTCTCATCTCCTTGAGAATCCTCATGCTCCTGATCAAGCCTTCTCACAATGGAGTCAGGGCTTCAAATGGGTGCGTTTATGTGTGCATGCAGGGCACTAGTGCGCTGGTCCAACAAAGCCCCATCCCCTCACACAGCAAGGGTTGGTGTCTTGTAGCAGCAGGACATAGGTTACCCTCTAAGACCCCTAAAAAGCTGCCCACTGAACTACTTGGACTTAGCTTGATCTTGCAGGGATTTTCTACCACTGCACTAGTGGTCAAAGGGAGTTACTGAGAAGTGCTGTGTTTGCGGATCCAGATAACTTACTTGAGGAGAGGCGAAGAGGAGCAAGAAGTTGAAATGAAATCAATATTGCAGAAAAATGAACAAAAATTCATGATAAAACAAAGTTGTTGGGAGAAACTGAACTGCCAACTTGTTCTGCTGGTGGACACAATTTCTAGTGGCCTGAGGTGAAGGATGGAGCTTAGTCCTGGAGCCTTCAGCAACAACACTGGTCCACCTCCCAGTTCTACGGGTGAGAGGAATCACCTCTTTGTTCCGAATGAGCAGAAAAGCTGGGCCACGGAACAGACAAAACGTGCATATTTTATCATGTTTTCAGGTGTTCCGCTAAAGACCTCCAGTATCTTTGATAGCCAGAAGTTTATAAGATAACAGATTTAATGAGATTTCCATGCTACCAATGGAGACATTATAGCAAATGTTATATTAGAATAGAGACTAGATATTAAAAAGGACACAATTCAATATTTTGGCTCTTAAAAGCTTAAGTATAAAATGCCTTATTAAACTATATGAAAAACTTATGTTTGTTTCTAGTAAGTCTACTTTTTCTTCTTCTAAAGCCTTGTTCATATTCTTAAGGGTTCCATTTTCAAGTTGTAGCTCCTGGACTGAATCCTGGAGCAATTTATTGTTGGTTTTTAAATGCTGAAGCTCGGCTTCTTGTGCTTCCAGTTCTATTTTCTGAGACAAACTCTTATCTATAGTAATAAAAAAAATTAAGTGGTTAATTTGTGAAAGCAAACTATGTCAAATATGCAATATTAGCTTTTATGGGTAACACTATAAAATGGCAATATTGACAATTTTCAATTTTTCACCTAGCAATACATTTTCTTAGTATTTCAGAATATAATTACGTATGTGTTCTAAAACCGCCTTTATTCCCAAACCATGAAATTGTATAGCTGAAACAATGTTAGCATTGCCAGAATTCAGTTTTGCAGAAAGAACATACTGCTAGTCAAATCGCTCTATGCTTCACAATTCTAACTCTGTTTCTACAGCCCATCTTCACTGAGGTCTGATGGCTTGTACTCTGAAACTCATGGTTGACAGGTAACAGTATCAATGGCTAGATAAAGAATTTTGGTGCCCTATTTGTCCATTTTCCGGTCTTCAAAATCCAGAATATATAAAAATGATCAAGGTGTTTGATGGACTGATGTATGGAGTAAAATTAAGAAACACAGACAATACAAGAGATTTCCTGTATTGCAAAGAGAATTCTATTGAATAACACCAACTTACCATATAAAACAAGACTACTCATTCCCTTTCTATAGGACAAGGAAAATTCAATGTCTCCAAGACCCAGAACTTGGTGAGAAACAGGGGCAGAGAGAGGGGAAGGGAAATGATAGCAATCAACAGTTATTTGAACTATGTCAACACATAGGATGGAGAAGGATTATTTAGGGTGGTGATTCAAAGGGGAGTGTAGCAGGGCGGTTGCCCGCTCTAGCCCTGAAGGGGTTGGAACAGCCCTGCAGAGGGCTGTGGCTGGGGAAAGCAGCAAGCCTGGGCTGATTGGGGAGGCGGCTACAGCTGGGCCACGCCCCCATCAGGCCACAGCTGGCCCTTATAAAAGGGCTGTGAGCCAGGCCCTCAGTCAGTCTCTCTCTAGCTCTGAAGGGAGAGGGACTGGGACCGGGACCTAGCTCTAGCTGCTGGAGAAGCCAACTGTACTGGAGTGAAGCAGGGCTAGGGAAAGGCCAGAGGAGCTGGGGAGCTCCAGGCTGGCAACTCCCCAGGCTGCAGGGCCTTGTCCAAGGCCCACAGAGGTACTGAGTTGCAGGGAAAGGCAGCAGGTCCAAAGCCCTCTGCCAATGATGAGTGGCCATTACAAACTGAAGTTGGCCCCAGTGAAAGGGGGCTAGATGGTGACTGGCAGTAGCCACTGAGGCAAAATGGAAGATGGGAGTGGGGATTCCCCTAGGTGCGGAGACCCAGATAGTGGGTTACTGCTGGGGGCAGGAACCTGATGGGGGAGGGCACTGGGGTCCGGGAGAGACACGGGGGCCAGTGGCGAGCTAGATGGTGACCAGCAGAGGGCGCTCTGCCTAGAAATGAGCCAAGTCCCTGGATGACTAGAAGGAGGCGCTGCAGGGGTGAGTCCCACACCGTTACAAGGGGAAACGGTATAACTAGAGAGGATAATCAGAGACTTCTTAGAGAGGAAGAACCGTCCGGGGGTTAAGGGTGACAGCCTAGAACTCTGGGCACCCACATTCAGTTATGTTTCAATTAGGACAAGTTATTGTTGGTTGCAGTGAAGAGCTACAGAAAATTGAGAGAATGCTCCCATTTGACACCTTAAGAACCACAGGTAAAAGATAGCGAAAGCAAGAAAATGGACTTAGAAGGCATTACATTTTATTAGCTAGCTGAAAGTGCTGCCACTTGCCAAGAATAAGATCAAAATGCAAAGCAGTTATTTGGATGGCCTCATGGACTGGAGAGTGCAGAAATACTGATTAAAATGGAAGCAGGACTAGGTCCATAAATTTAATTTTGAAATCTCGTTAAGTGAGGTTAGACTTCTACAGCGATAAGTGGGAGCAGTCTCCTTCTTTACAATGGCTATTTAGCAGAATTACCTGTTCTCTTAAACCTCAGTCTGCAAAATGCATTTTCCCAACCAAATAGACAAATGTAGGGAAAAGTCAAATTAGGGCTCGGCGGGTAACGTTTCATCACGTTTTAGCTTGATGGAGTCCATATACAAGCTAAAGGATAATAGTTTGAGGTATATTTGTTTGCTTGGGATTTTAAAACACAGGAGCACATTGTAGTATTTAATTTGCTGACCATATAGTTTTGTTTGGGACATATTTATTCCTCATTTTAAATTGCTTTAAAACCATATAATTTTATGAGTTAGTATATTTGTATAAAGAAGTTCCATCTCAGTTTGGAAAGAGAATTGCGTGTATTAGCTGAAAGTTAATTTAACTATATCACACGGTGGGAACTTTTTATTTCTTGGGGATGCTTCAAATCACCATTTATAATGAGGCTTACAGATCCTCCACACTGAAGTAATAGTTTGTAACAGGATTTAAATAGGTAGAAATGTGTCACTCACTTTTCATCTCTTCAGCATAATTCTGGTCTCCTTTAGAAAGTGTTGGGCTATTTTTAGTTCTTCTAGCTGATGGATTTTTTGTGATTTTTTGCTCAGACTGGCAGCAAAGAAGGTTTTTTTCCTTCTTCATTTCCTACAACAAAACATTAGTTACAAAACAGTCGATTAAGTCAATAAACTGAGAGTAGTGTGATGTGGCATACTACTCCCATTTGAGTCCCATGAAGACTCTGGAAAGTTGGGCCTTGATTTCTAAGCACTTACATGAGTTAGGAACACAAAGTGCACTCTTGGCAATCCTCAGAGGGCAGACAATCCTTTTGGGACATCTCCCAGCTGGCACAGATCACAGCAGTACTTAGTTGGCTCAGGATATGGAACCAGGGAGCTGCAACCAGTTCTTTTACACACTGTGGTGACCACTTTAAACTGTTGTCCTATTAGCTCTATACTTAGCCCCTGACAACTCTTGAAATGACTGAAGCTTGTGATCAATAAAACCCCAATGTATGTGTCTTAAAAAATATTTGTTAGAGTTAATAAACTCCAGCACTTCCTGGTCCCAGAAAGCTGCAACTAGTACCAGGTTGATGATATTTAGAAAATGGAGGAACTGTCTGAAGCATAACACTTTAAGAGCTGCTCCTCTCTCCCTATCTAGAATCCAGGAGGACACCAAATCTTGGGCCAAATTCTCAGCTGGTGTGAATGGCAGAGCTTCAGAAACTATACTGATTTACACCAGCTGAGGATCTGGCGCCTCATCTGAATCAAACGTAATAATGCATGTTTTGAAAACATATACGCTTCAGATTGTCCACCTATAATATAAAAATATATTGTTTTAGTTGCTAATAGGAAATTTCATTCTTCTGTCTAAGCATTATACTCACTAATGGTATCTCACCTGTCAGTAAAAGTTCAGTGCAACTAAAAAAAATCAAATGTTATAATATGCATTTGTACAGTAGAGCAGTGGGAACATACATTTACACAAAACTTGAAATCCAACCCACATTTGTTAAAGATGTAGTCACTCACAGTCTTGAACACTTCAGAACTAATTGTTTTTGTTGGTAGTGAAGCAGAAAACAAAAAAAGACGGTTACTCACCGTTGTAACTGTTGTTCTTCGAGATGTGTTGCTCATATCCATTCCATTAGGTGTGTGCGCGCCGCGTGCACGATCGTCGGAAGATTTTCTACCCTAGCAACACCGGCGGGGCGGGTGTGGGGGGGGCCCCCCAGGGGGGC